CTAAAATCCTGCCTTTTCCTGCCTTATATTCCTCTCTCTGCCCAGCCATACCACTCCTGTCCCCACCTTCCTAGTGCTGTGACTAAAGGTGTGTGCCACCACTGCCTGGTCTCTGGTGGCTTAGCTCTGCACTCTGATCTTCAGGCAAGTTTTAATTATTAAAACACAAATCACTACAGATAGGAAGGTAGGCAGGTAGGTAGCTAGCTAGGTAGGTAGGTAAGTGGGTGGGTGGTAGGTGGATGGGTAGGTGGGTAGGTGGGTAGGTTGGTAGGTGGGTAGGTGGGTGGGTGTGTGAGTAGGTAAGTAGGTAGGTGGGTGGGTGTGTAGGTGGGTGGGTAGGTGGGTAGGTAGAATAAATGGAAGTGTACCAAGTCAGGCATGGTTGTAAATGCCTATAATCCTAGCACTTGGGAGGCTGAAACAGTTCAGTTCAGTTCAAGGCCTGTCCGCCCTACACAGTTAATACTTCGTGCTTTTAAAAGTTGAAGCCCCAGGTTTTGCATTTAAATTTATCTTCCCCAGTTCATCTCTTTACCTCCAAGTCACCTGAGTCACCAAAAATAAAGGTTTGCTTCCAACCTGACAGCTCATTTCTTCACCGGCCCTTTGCTTGCCAAAAAACCAGTCCCACCCATCTCAGCGGAAATGGATCTCAGATCCTGGTTCAACCTTTGCTAGGTGAAGACATTCTCACAGGCCAGCACCTGCGGCTCTTGCCACTTGCTCTGATTTTATTACTGATGACAGAAATACTCCAAACGATGTCCCCCGTCCTGTTGTCGTTTCGTGGTTTTTTTCCGCTGGATTTATGGCTCAGGAATTGTGGTCATGCCATTTTCCCTTCCTCTGGCACCCAGGATTTGTTGAAAGCATCACATACATTTCTTTATCCTTTATTCATTTTATGTATATATACTAAGTGTCAGTATTTGTTAATTGTCCCCAGATCTGTGTACTTGCCCACAAACACAGATTCCCACGGAAACCAGCAAAACGGAAAATGAGGAAGCAAATGCGACACCACCATTCTTTGAATTAGGTTATAAGCCTCTTTTGGTTTTTGTTATCATTTGTTTGGTTTTATCTCATATAGGGTTTTTTGGGGCGTGGGATTTGGAAATTTTGGGGGTTTATGGAGTTTTGTTGTTTGGGGACAGGGCAATCATTCTCATTTTCCTTAGGCTGGGGAAAACAAGTTTGCTACTTCTCCCAGCTTTTCTAGGAACTGAGGACCCACGGCCAGGTTCAGGGCAGCCCCAGAGCTTGCTACTGTGTCTGATCTTATTGGAAACACAGAAATTCAAATTGCACCAGTTTAGTCCTTATGTGAAAAAAGTTATAGATATTCAAAAATACCATTATTTATTTATCTTTCTCTGCAATGGCTGAGTGTGAGAGAGCTTAACATTTGAAGCTAATATAAACTATCTTAAGCATGAGAATTTCTGCTAATAAACTTATCATTTCACTTGTCACTTAACCATTTTAATTATAATTTCCTCAGCAATACATAAGGGATAATGATATACCATTCACCTGGATTATTCTTCGGATTTTATGAGAAAATACAAAATAAATTCTGATCTTACACTCCTCCAGGAATACATCCTAAGGCTGCCAATGGATTTCTTCACCACAATTAGGACCAAAACCTAAATACACAGTATTGCCACATAGTATCAAAGTCAATGTCACAGTTTTTCTTGCCCTGGTGACTCTTCTGCATCAGTATTTTAACAGTTTGGAACATAAAATAAAATAAGGTTTGAACACAAGCGCTGGAATATTGTGACAGTCAGTCTGATAACCAAGATAGGTACAAGTGGCCAACTATAGGAGGAGGTTTTTGTCCAGAACAGCAGCTCCCAAATAACCACTTAATACTATGTCTCTGTGTGGTTATTTGGGAGCTGGCCAGAGGTCCTGACAAAAAAACTGCACCTACAACTACCATGAGGGTAGTGTACACAGCCTGGATACACTGGACAACAGGATGGTCAGAGTCCTGAGTGAAATAGAGGAAGAGAGGGACCGGTTTCATTTTGCCCCTCATAAATTTGGAAACTGTGATTATCTGGAATTTTCCATTTAATATTTTTTTTAACCTATGACTCCATACAACTGTAACCTAGGAAAATGAAACTGTTCAAAAGGGAAGAGGGTTGTGTATTCTGTTTAAAAATGCAAAGCTCAGGCCAGCAAGACGGCTCAGAGGGTAAAGGCACTTAACCCCAAGCCCAAGGACCCGAGACTCACACATCACACACCCACACACCCACACACACGCCTTTAGAAGAATAAATTAAAAATGCAAAACTCGCCAGGCAATGATGGCTCACGCCTTTAATGCCAACACTCGGGAGGCAGAGGTGGGCGAATATCTGAGTTTGAGACGACCATGGTCTACAGAACTTGTCCTAGGACAGGCTCCAAAACTACACAGAGGAATCCTGTCTCAAAAAACCAAAGAGAGATAGAGAGATAGAAAGAGAGAGAGGAGAGAGAGAAAGAGAGAGAGAGAGAGAGGCAAAACTCTTCACACATCCACCTAATTCTGAGAGGTTTTGGTCTGGGTTTCTATGCACACACGTGTGGAGGTGCTCTTCTCTGCTCACAGCTACTTTGTACATATTCGTGTGGAGGATCAGAGGATTTTTTAAAAAAATGTTGAAAATTACTCTTCCACGTGTTCTTCCAATTGTTTGTTTGTTTGTTTGTTTTTGAGGTAATAGTCTCCCTTCATAGCCCCAGTTTTTCCTGGAACTAGCTCTATAGACCAGACTGGCCTCAAACTCACAGAGATCCACCTCCCTGTGCCTCGCAAGTGCTGGGATTAAAGGTATGCACCACCATGCCTAGCTACTTTTATAGATATGTCTTTGACACTTGGGTCTTTCCCTAGTGGATAACCAATTTCAATGCTCCCTCTTTTCTTCTTCATTTGAAGCACCGGAAACATTGAAATTGCATAAAGTTTCCACACCATCTTGAAGAGGCTGATTGCTCTTGCATGGTATCCTACCTTAGAATATAATAGTTTATAATACCATTGCTCTCACATGGTATTCTACCTTAGAATATAACAGTTTCCATGTTGGTTCAGATGGAAAATTGCAGCTTTCAGTACTTTTGCTTTGTATAAGTCATGCTTACTTCTCGTTATAGTCTTAAATATTTTCCTTCACTTTACTAATTCAGTTCTCTACAGCAATGAACTAGAATATTCCCTGGTATTGAACCTCCTCATTGGTTACAAGGCTCCAGTTCTATGATTTTTCTGAGGTATATCAAGCATATAAATACATGTTTCCAGTTTACATTTCAATGTACATGTATGTTTAACATACTATACATTAGGTGCTGGGCATTCACTGCTGGCTCTCCTCAAATATTAAAACATAGGGCTGCAATGATGGCCCGGTATGAAAAGCATGTGCACTCTTCAGGGTACTCCAGTTGAGTCCCAGCCCCCACATGGTGGCTTACAATCATTTGTAACTCGAGTTCTAGGAGACTCGATGCCCTCTTCTGGCTCTGACAGTTGCTGGACACACGTGGTGAACACACATGCAGGCAAAATACTCAGAAACATAAACTAAAGTTTAAGATGTTACCATTTTATTATATTCATATAAGAAAATATATGAAATTTCGTTGATACAGCCATGGTCCTTTATACTCCTTTCTCTTTTTTAAAAGCTATTTTTAATAATAAAATAAAAGTTAGAACAAAAACTAACACATTGGACTTGAACAAAACAAACAGAAGAAAAAGAGTTCGCGAGAAGGCACAAGAAACAGACTCGTGATTTGAAAGCTCAGGAGTCCCATAAAAACACTAAGTTGGAAGCTAAAACATCTATGCAAAGGACCTCATTCAGACCCATGCAGGCCTCTGCACGCTGCCTCAGTCTCTGTGAGTTCACATGATACGCCTCTATTAAAAAGAGAGAAGACGAGGCTGGAGAGATGGCTCAGCAGTTAAGAGCACTGACTGTTCTTCCAGAGGACCCAGGCTCAACTCCCAGTACCCACAATGTGTCTCACACCCATCTATCTGTAACACCAAGATCTAACACTTTCACACAGACATACACACAGGCAAAACACCAATGCATATAAAATAAAAATAGCTTGATTTAAAAATAAAGATAGATAACTTTTAAGTTAAAAGGCATGGAAGACAGACTGATGAAGCAAAATGTGTCAAATTAAAGTTTCAGGAGAAGAAACAGTGCGAAAGGCAAATATGAAACCCTACTAGCTGAATGCCCCAAATGATGAGAGGTACCAGGCCCCAAAATAAAGTCTAAGGCAGTGGTTCTCAACGTGTGGGTCACCATCCCTTTGAGATTAAATGACCTTTCTACAAGGGTCACCTAAGACCATTGAAAATATTAGATATCTACACTGCAGTTCATAACAACAGCAAAAATAGAGTTGCAAAGTAGCAACAAAAATAATTTTACGGTTGAGGGTCACCACAAGATGAGGAGCTGTATTAAAGGAAAGGTTGAGAATCCTGATCTAAAGAACTTCAAGCAAGGTGAATCTTGAATTTCATTTTTGTTTTAACCTATTTGAAAAACAAATTAAGTAGTTTTTTTCTTTTTTTGTAATGAACTAATAAGTAACTGAGTTCAGAAAATGGATTAAGAAAAATAGTACCTACTGGTGGTTGCTTTAGTAATATTTACTTTTATAAGTTAACTTTACTTCCAGCAATATACACAAAGCCTGCCCCACAACACCCGTTTTCCTCAGTAGTTATAGATGTGAAAAATGCTAATCCAAATCTTTCTGAAAATGTAGGTTAAGGTTACGAAAAGCACAACGTATGTCATCATCTCCCGTATAAAAGGGGAGAAGCATGAACGTTTTAGCTGAGGCCCTGCCTAAATTCTCCAGAATGTCACAGAAATAAAACCTTGTCCTAGTGGCAGTACTGGCAAAGACACTGGCAGCTGAGGCCTTTTCTCACCAAAATTGTATTTCAGTCACAGATACACAACTTGAAGAGGGAACCTGAGATGCAGTTAATCCTGAATCAAGAATTGAATTCAAAATGAACTACGCTAATCTACAGAAACACAAGAGGAACTAAATCCAAGTATGGTAATAACTTTTCACTCAGCCAAAATTTCTCAGAAAGTCATTGGCTTGTGTAACTGTGTTTTGTCTTTATGATAAATTATATTTCCCCAATACTTCAGAAAACTTTGATTCAACAAAATGCTATGTACCTAAATAGAGCAAGTTGGATCACAAAACAGTCATTCAACAATTTTTTCCAGAAACTTAAGCACTCAACTGAGCCCCGAACTGAAATCAGGATTCTGAGAACCAATCATTAAGGGGAAATTCCAGAGAAGCTGGAAAGCACAGCGAGAATGAAACAGCCATCACCAGCCAAGTCTAGGGAAACAACGCCCAAAACGAAAAAAAAAATAACCCAGTCTCTTGATCTTTTGTCGTGGTGGTTTGGGGTTTTCGTTATCGTTGCTTGCTTATTTTTGTTTGTTTGTTTAACTTTTTCTCATCATCTCATGATCTTTTTATTCTCCTGTGTTAGGACCACCATCCTATATTCTTTGTACCCATCATCTGCATATCGTATCTGTATTTTCTTCTATTATGCTTCCCATTTGAGTTTTTTGCTTTGTTTTGTATCGATTTGTGTTGGTTGGTTGCTTGCTCACTTGCTTGATTTTTGAGAAAGTCTTGTAGTCCAGACCAGCCTAGAACTCTCTGGATGACTATGGACTGATCCTCCGGTCTTCATCACCCAAGGGCTGGGATTACATCTGTACAGCCACCCAGGATGCTCCCATTCTTGTGTGTCGCATACTCTACTTTCTTTCTCTAGCTCCTGGCTGGCTGATCAGTTAGTTGGTCCGGGATTTTGTTGTTGTTGTTGTTCCTTTTTAAATTTTTCCCTTTCTCTATCTTTTCATTTCCGACCCAAAACAGATGTTTATACTCCTATGAAATAAAATTTGCTGTTTCTTATTAGCATCATCCAGTGCCATAATGTGCATCGTTCATCATAGTGGGGAGAGATGAGGCTCACACGGGGTATTAGCTCTCCATCACAACACTCCTGACAAAGTGATTGATTTCAGTTTATGTGTTCAGAGATTTTAATTCATGGTGATTTAACTTCATTATTTCTGGAACTGTGGTAAGGGTATCATGATGAGAAAATTGTTCACCTCATGGTATACAAGAAGCACACAGAAAAAGGAAGAGGGATCCTAATGTACCCTTCAAGGGCATAGCCCCACCCACCTGACTTGCTCCTACCTCTTCAAGGTGCCACCTCTGCAAAGCACACCACCAGCTGAAGAACGACCAAGCCTTAAACATTAAGTTCAAACCACAACATATAGTCCTCAAGCCTTTTATTATTATTATTTTGAAATGTTAGTCTCATTTTCCTACCGTGACCACTCTGTAGTTTTCTAAATACTTTTAATGAGCATTGCTAATCAATTCAAAATTCATTAACAATGACTTATTTGTTCTATTTTATTTTTTAACATAGCAAAACAAAATATAATAAGATAACATGAAAACCATCACATGGAGGCAGGACAGGCAACCCAACCGAAGGAGTTCCAAGAGCCATTATTGACAAGGTGATTCCTGCTAATTTTCCAGCATGGTACTCGTCTGTGTCCTCATGATCCATCAGGAAGGGGCTGTGTGGTCAGTAGGACATAGCAGAAGTAATGATACACTGCTTTCAAGGTCAGATCATAAGATACATTGCAATTTCCCTATTACTTACCTGGTTACTTGTTCAAGTAGCTGTTAGGGGGGGTCGTGATAAAGAACCAAGGATCCCTGCCCACAGCCTGGCTGAGTGTGACATGCCACTCTGCTAGGGTGCAGTATGGAGGCAGGGCCTCCTGCTCAGAACAGTTCCTGATGATCTCAACCCTGGTCAATGTCAATGTATTGACTGTGATCTTCCAGCAGATTCCCAGCATAGCCGGCCAGCTAAGCTGCTTCCCAATTCCTCACAGATTGTGAGGGATAAGATAAAGCTTCTAACAATTTGTTATGACGAGACAGATAATTAACGCACTTGCCTCTTTTGCATTAAAAAAATACATATAGCATTTCTTTCCACATTCCATTAATAGTAAATATGCACACACCAGGTTCAAAAAGGAAATACCTTTTATTTCTGGAACTTTCTTTTTAATTTTCCAGTGTTTCTGGGTTTTTTCTCATATAATACATACAATCTAAAATTAATAATTTAATATGTAAAAAAGTCTAAATTGTATAAAGCTAGACTCTTGCTAAGTATAAGTTCACACCTATAATCCTTGGGAGGCAAAAGCAGGAGAATCAGGAGTTAAAGGTTATCCCAGGCCATATCAAATTCCAGAATATTCAAGGCTAACCTGAGCTATATATCAAAAAATAGTTAAATCAAGGTTTTTATGACAAAATATAAGATTATCTAAATAACATCATCAAAAAAAGCAATAAGATGTAAACTAGAAACTAAACCCCACTGCACCATGATAATGCATTGTATTTGTTCTAAGATACTTTCTCTAACTATCCAAAACCTGGAACCAAAGAACATCCATTTTTGTTCTTGTTTTAAATACATTACCCATACATTCCTTGCTCATAATTATAATTTTAAATAACTGAAATTTTGCTAAATCATATCAATAGGTATTACTATGTAACTTCCATGGCTGAGTTTTTTTCCTAAAATGAGATGCGAAGTCATCCTTTTAATAATCCATTAATGCAATCTAATAATGCTATTAACCTAAAACGAACACTGAACATCAAAGCATCCCTCCATATCAGAACTGAGCTCTAGTGTAATATCATTAATTGAATCCCTAGACTCACTCTGGGTTTGGGTAAGCCATAACTGTGACTCTTTTCTTGCAAAGTATCCTGGTGGATATAATGTGATCATCATTTACATGATCCAAGATTAGGCTGATAATAAAAAGGAATTAGATCAAAATACCAGTCAAGAAGCCTTCAGCTTGTGTTTGCCTTATAAAAGAAACACACTACTAGATTCCCCGTGGCCTGTGAGGATTTTGGTAATCTCTACGGATCAGATGTGGTATGAAATTCATTAACTGATTCAACAAATATTTGTTGAGCCCTGACTATGTGCCAGGCAGCAGGGCGCCAGGCGGCAGGGCAGAGCTAGGAAGCCGCAGTGAGCAATGGCTACTGCTTCACTGGCCTCCTACGGCAATGGCAAAAACAAAAGGGGATGCACAGGGAGGAATTCATATCTGACGGAAACAAAAGGCTTGCAGAAGACGTGGAAGCAAAACCTTTGGGTCATAGAATCCTGCACAGGTCGAGTCTTTCTGGCAGATGATATATTCTTTTTTTTTTTTAATACCCCAAATGTGAGACCCAGTGAAGACACAGTCTGTTTCTCCACCCTCGTCCATTAGTTTCCACTATGATTCACCAGACTTGGTCCTAGCACAGATATGAGTACCTTTTTGTGCAGACTCACACTCTCTTTCGCTCTAACCTCCCAGCTCCTCAAACATCCTGTGGGAAATATCAGGTGTTGTTTGGGTTCGGCAGTTATATCTCATCCCCAGAGATTTCCAACGTATTTTGAAAACCTGCTGTCATTGGGTGTTTGCGAAATGTAAATTTAGAACCTTATAGTTCTTTCGCTATCCCACTAAAGATGCATTTTCTACCAATCACCCTCTTACATTAAAATATTGGAGTCTGACCAATTCAAAGATTGCAAAAGCAGCTATGACGCCGGCTGTTTGTGGAGTCCTGTTTCCACGTTCCTGACAGTAAAGCAACATGTGACTCTATGCCAGGAAGCTCCCCCCACACACACACAGCAGAGACTCTGTCCAGAAAGCGGATGGTTTAACCAAGAACCTATCAGAATCTATCCAGCCCCATCCGTTTCAGAAAAACCCTGGTATTCGGATCTAGAAGCTCACCCTCTCTGAAGTCAAAACTGAGTTCTGGCGTGGGGGCTTTTTCCTACCTCCACTCAGGTACACCCATCTCACCCGCAGCCACTCAGCTAATGGACACCCGGGCCCTGCCCTCACTCTCTAACATCAGCAATACAAATGGCCTGCACCAAATATTTTGGGAGTTGGGTCACTTGAGGGTGGAGAAGGAGAGTTGGGGGCTGCGAGCAGACCGCCTTCCCATTGGCTCAACCCTCTCCTCCTCCCCAGGCTCCACACTTGAAGTTCCTGCCAAATCCCTGCCTTTGTCTCAGTAACGTTCCGCCCACACCCCCAACCCCTCAGGAGCTCTCTTCTGCTCTCCAAACTCTCAGGGTATTTTTCAAAGTAAATACATTTCCCTTTCTGAGAGGAATTCTGGTGCCAACTTTAATAAAATAACATTTCTCAGCTTTATCGCATATGATGCACCAAATTTCATTACGATTTTTTTTTTTTTTTTTACTGTTAGAGCAGCTTCCAGCGTTCGAATAGACAGCAGGAGGTTTCCATGTATTTTAGAGCTTGGGAAAGCCTAAGTTTTTCCCAAAAATAAAATCGTTTAAAAACAAAGGGAAACTACAGACAGAAGTGCCTGGAGCAGGGGTGGGACCGGACGGGATGACACTTACAATTGGTTTTCCACGTCGGTTCCTAGGGGCCTTTAGAGGGGAGTGGTTTCTCATCAGGGTTTCCACAGCCAAGTTATGTAAAACAGAACACCCCCTTTCACTTTCTAGACGCCCATTGTGTTGGCAGCGAACTGCGATGTGCTTTGGGGACACACACACTCACGCACACGCCCTTTGGCTTGCGGGAACACCACGGGCTGTGGCGTTCTATGATCCTCTCTCTCTTCATTGAGGGACTGCAGATGATCTCACGAATTCCTTAAATTTCATTAGAAACAGCCGCTGCTCCGTCACCCCAGGCTGGGCTATGAGGCGTGCTTTTATTATTTTTTTTTTCCTGAAGGAAATACAAAATTGTTTCTAAATATAAGTTAGTTTACAGAACCAGCAGGAGCCAGTGCCTCTGAGATATTTTATTTCTGTGATACATTGAAATGTGATTCCTCTGGCTTTCACAACTGAGTGTGAGGAAAGTTGAAGGCCTTTTTTTTTTTTCTTTCTTTCTGGAAATGTTTGTGGAGGTATCAGGTTCCCTGCCATTACTTGGCTCAGTTGGTAATGGGTATATAAACTGCCTCATGCAACTGCAAGGAGCATAATTTACACATAATTTGGGGAGTGTGGTTATTATTCAAATATTTATATGCAATTATCTCAGCTGTCCTTAGAATGAGTTCATCTGCTCTACGTGTTCATATCAAGCCTCCCTGCCCTTCTTCACTCCGCCCTTAATTTCTTCTGATTCACCATTGCTTTATCAGCCCAGTGGTTCTTAATAACATGGTCACTTCTGCTGTTTCCACGAAAGGGAATACTGATCCAGAAGGAAGAACTGTCAAACCTACTAACTTCTACATCATTACCAGCTTGCTCCCATTGAGAAACAATGCATCGTGTTGTTTGTTTGTTTGTTTGTTTGTTTGTTAAAATAGGGTTTCTCTCTACAGCCCTGGCTCTTCTGGAACTCACTTTTTAGACCTGGATGGCCTCAAACTCGGATATCCACCTGCCTCTGCCTCCCCATCAGGGGATTAAAGGCATGCCACACCATGCCCAGCTGAACTCAGGAGTCTTAAACCTGCTGTGTATACATTTGCTGTACCACTGAGCTACAACTCTGGTCCTTAGTGTCCTATTTTTAAAGCAATACGACTTAGCAAATACCCAGTTCATAAGGTTTTCTAGGCTAACCATAGAAATGAACCTCTAAAGTAATTCTTTCTGTGTCTCTGTTTGACCACTGCATTGAAAATCAAGTCACAGGAATGCCATACAGAAAGAACCAAATTGATGGTTTTCCTCACCGAGTCTGTTTTGAGGGCTTCAGTCATCCGACCCCCACAGCTGTGAATCTCTTCAGGCATCCAGGTCCCCTGCCAGCTTCATAAAGCTCAGGCTCCCAGGGAAGAGCTAGGAACAGTGTGATCTAAT